AAACAATAAACCTTTCTGTGCCAGGTGCAAAGTTCTGTGGGGACACAAAGGTTGATCAGACATGAATCCTGCCCTGTTGCTACACTGAAAGTTCTAAGGACCAGTGAGAGGTCACCTTTCAGAAATGTTTGCAGAAGAGCTAGCTAAGAAGACCAACAGGTGAAGACATGGTGGTGTGTGCCAAAACCCACAGACCTGACACCTGCTGATGTCCTGAAAAGGCCCGAGGGCCTCCTGTCCTGGAACGAAAGTGTGGGCACGGCCTTTCCCAAGCCTACTCCAGAGGCCCTCAGAGCATGCCCGGGCTGAAGGGCACTGGACCACAGCAAGCAGCTGCCTACACACCCTTGCCCTGTATCCTCTACCTTCTGGTTTTCTCTCACTGCATCCCAGCACCCTGTACTCAGAAACCTTCCTGTGTGGCTCAGGGACTCACTCATCTAGCATGTTGAGAGGCTGAGGTGGGAGGATCACTCGAACCCAGGAGTTCGAGACCAGCTTAGGCAACATAGACTCCATCTCTACGAAAGAAAATGTTAGCGGGGTTTGGTGGCTCATGCTTATAGTCTGAACTACTTGGGAGGCTGAGGCAGGAGGATGGCTTGAGGCTGGAGTTCGATGCTGCAGTGAGGTATGGTCACACCACTGCACTTGAACCTGGGTGACAAAATGAGACCCTGTTTCTAAAGAAAAAGAGGCCAGGCACTGTGGCTCATGCCTGTAATCCTAGCACTTTTGGGAGGCTGAGGCGGGTGGATTACTTGAGTCCAGAAGTTCTAGACCAGCCTGGGTAACATGGTGAAACCTCGTCTCTACAAAAAATACAAAATTTAGCAGGGTGTGTTGTTGCAGGCATGCCTGTAGTTCCAGCTGCTGGGGAGGCTGAGGTGGGAAGATCACTTGAGCCAGGGAAGAGGAGGTTGCAGTGAGCTGAGACTCTACACTGCACTACAGCCTGGGTGACAAAAAGAAGTCTGGGTGCGGTGGCTCACACCTGTAATCCCAGCACTTTGGGAAGCCGAGGCAGGTGGATCATTTGAGGTAGGGAGTTCAAGACCAGCCTGGGCAATACGGTGAAACCCCATCTCTACTAAAAATACAAAATTGGCTGGGCATGGTGATGCATATCTGTTATCCCAGGTACTCGGGAGGCTGAGGCAGGAGAATCACTTGAACCCAGGAGGCAGAGGTTGCAGTGAGCCAAGATCATACCACTGCACTCTAGCCTGGGCGACAGAGCAAGAGCCTGCCTTAAAAAAGAAAA